TGCTGGGAAAATGGTTTTAAAATGATAAAAGTGTGACTGGACATATTCTTTGGGTGGGGAGGGATCTTACCTGAGTATTGTAAAAGAACCCCTTTCTCCTTTGGGTTTTGCTTGAAGAGGGCAGTAGAGGATGATAATCACTTTTATTGGCCAAGTATGTTACACACACAAGGAATTTGTCTGCGGTGTAGAACCGAGGTGGCCATCTGTGGCACCAACTCACACACCCCAATGGCAGCGCTGTCCTTACAGGTGCTGCTCTGTCCATTGAGAGCAACTTGGGGTTCAGGGCACTTTAACATGTGGACTGAGGAGAACAGGAATCAAACCGCTGAACTACTGGTTGGGAAATGAGCTCTCTACTTCCTGTGTCACAGCTGCCCCAGCAGGAAGAATATCAAAGTTTTAAAAAGATGAATAAAATTAAAAAAGTTACAAGGAGCTCAGTTATAAGGGACACAAGAAAGTTAAACTGAAATACAAAAATGAAAGAGTCCATAAAATTGCAGCTGACACCTCTGCAGTCCCAGTCATTTTTTATTTTACGTTCAGGGCACAGCAATGATGTTAGTCATCACATACTTGTCTGGTTGGTCAGTGACACAGACTATTATCTTGCTAAATGTTCAGTACACCCCATAAAGGTAACAAAATACAATGCTTTGCTTTCATAAGATAAACTCCATCTACAGCAACATTTTTCTACTGGATAAGTATAATTGTATTCTGATGTCTGTGCTCCTAAGTTCATTGTGTGCTTTTACGCTTCTGCATGTGTGCACCCAGGGTGTGACAACAGCAAACCTGTTTGCTTCAAAAGACAATAACAGCTACTGGTTGCCTGGGGAAGTTGATCAAAATCAAGCATCGATGTCAGGTCAGGTCCGCTCGCCGCGACCTGCCTCTCTCCTGCCTTTCTCTCTCCTGCTCGCTCTTTTTGCGGGATCAGCGCCTCAGCTGTGTCGCTTTTTGTAATTAGTGACTTGTTGTCACGCACAGCTGGGGCACATTACAGTGATCACCTTCCTCATTTAAACCTCTGGCAGACGCTCCGCTGGGGCCGGAGCATTAACTACTGTAACTTGTATACCCCGTTACTGTCAGAAAACGGCGCGCGTAATGCGGCCGAAAAGTGTTGTGAACTCAATTAAATTGCCAGACGAGGAAGTGTTAAACAAAAACTTGTCTCTTTATTAAGAGAACTAAAACTAAACCAAACCATACAAGACACGGTGGAACAAAAACTCACGGTCAGTATCGGTCCCAGGTCAGAGCCAGCAAACACGTACATCCAGGGGAATCCAAAGTGCGTAGTCCGAGGGGAAAGTCCGATAAGCCGATACACATGAGCAGTCCGAGATAAGAGGGCAAGGCAATACAGGGTAATCCAAAAAACAGTCCGAGTCAGAAACACAAATACCAAAACCGAGAAAATGCTGGAAAGTCAGAGCTGGGGTCTAGAACAATCTGGCAGCGTCCTCATGGGAGGACGCTGCCTAAATAGAGATGAAAACAGGTGCACAAAATAACGAAGCAGGTGAAACTAATGAGTGATGAACGTAAAGAAAAGACCAGAACTAAGGTGAAACAAAACAGGAAATGGTGTCAAAATAAAAGCCAGAC